TAGGTTCGTAAATGCACCATGAGTATTAAATGAAAACCATCTCTGCAGTGAGTACGGCTCTGTGTTGTGTCATGGACAGCTCCTTAACAGAGTGACTGCTCCAGCCATCCTCCCAGGTAGGAGGGAGGAATCCATGTGTGCTGTGCAGTATGTGTGTTTGTGTTTCAGATGGTTTTTGTGATCACCCCACAATATCCCTGATGTCCACTGACAGATTCCTCCAAACTGATAAAATACCATTCCACGGTATGTTGATGAATTGACCCTTCGTTAAGTCCCGCCCACTGGAATGTAGACTTGGCAATCATAGTGTAGCATCGGCCAGCTCTGACCAGGGTCCGACAACTATCCGGCTCTGCTCCATAGACTCTCATTAGCGGTTTCAGATGTTATTCATGTTCAGGCTGGTTTAGTGGATTTTGAGCTTGTCAAGGTTAAACGTTGTGCAACAGTTAAACGTTGTGTAACAGTGAAACTCGTTACCCGGAGAGGAGATATAGGTTTCTACGTAAAACCAGTGGCGCTAACATTAGCAGAGTAAGTTAGCACATCATTAACTATCATCAGCCCTTCTAAGCTACTGAAGGTATACTGAATGGAAACATATGCTGCTCTTGCTTTTTATAATAATTGTAACAATGAATAAAAACCTACACGGCTTTACAATTCCATTGTCTTCTGTCTCGATGTCCAGGTGATGTGGTGGTTCACTATTACTCTGTGATCTGTGGGCTTTAGCTTCTATCTTTATCTCATCATCTTTGACATCCTGGATATATCCTTTAAACACATATTGTAGACTCTTCTGTCTGCTTCTCTCTCAAATCGCTTTCTTGTTTATCTAAAATGTCCTCAGGGAGTGCAGTTGGTGACAGTGTGGGCTCCATGGTAACATAGATCCGACAGCTTGACGGAGCAGCAGTGGGGGCGGGGCTTAGCAAAGGGTCATTCGTCAGTAACTAAATTCCTCGCCCACTAGTCCTAGGACTAGGGCTGTCTTTGACTGAAGAAATTTGTAGTCGACCAACACTCATTCCATTTTGTCGACTAGTTGATTCGTTTATTTAATCCAAAGATCTGTAAAACTGAGTTTCTCCAAAAACAATCATGCAAAAGCACCAATTTAAATCTGGTATTTACCAAAGATGTGCTCATAGGTTTCTTGGAAAAAAGTATGAAAAAAAGCATAAAAAATGACCAAAAAAAATCTTAAGTCGAATTAGTCGACTAAGAGGTGGCAGCCCTTCCTACCACCTTCAACACTAACCTAAACACTTATACTGTTGGTGTGTTTCACAGTCTGTTCCTCACACTAAGCAGTCACATCGGTGATGAGGTCCTCCTCTACATCTCATCTCTGTCCTCCTCTCCCTCTCTGGCCATCTCCATCCAAAAGGTTCAGAGTTTCCTACTTAGAGACCGATTTGGAAAATTCTGGAAAGGATCTAAGGATCAGACCACAGCAATGCTGCATGAGTGTGTGAGAGTGTCTGTGTGTGTACATGTACAGTATAAAACCTACCAGCCTGTACATTATGTGTGTGCTGACATGTACATGTCTTCTATGTGTGTGTGTGTGCGCGTGTGTGTGTGTGCGTGTGTGTGTGCGCGCGCGCGCGTTTGCTCTGAACAGGGGGGTCCCAGAAGAGCGGAAAACTGGCATCGAGGAAGGCTCCACACGGCCAAGCCGCTCATCTATTCTGGGCATCTGAGCCCACAGTAATACTACCAGAGGAGGAAAACAGAGGAGGACATGCCTGGATATGTGGTGTCCTCTGAGAAACGGGTTCACTCAGGTGTCAGCGAGCTGTAGCGTGTTATGTAACATCATAGTAACATGGTTCCATTGCATATAGAAACCAGGGCTACATGCAGTACAAATTAATATTCCGCTACTGAAAGACCATATCCTTAAACATAGAAACATGTGGCAGTTATTGCATATATCAAGGGAGAAGTAACTGTCGTCGCAGTTTTCGTTTGTATATTAATCTTTATGGAAAACACATCTGAAAACAAACACTTGAGAGAAGATGGTGTAGAAACCTGTTCCCTCAATGCAATGTCATAGTAATAGCTTCAATATTGAACTTACAGCTCAGCCTGGGGTTAGTAAACCTACCTGTCACCGTCTTCGTTTTGACCGGGCTGCTGGCATAGTCCGACGCCTGATTGGACGGCTGTTTGGCCAGCGGTGTGCTCGCTACCGACGCCTCGTCCTCTCTCCTCTTGGACAGAGGGACTGAACCTGGAGTCTGCAATGACATCACAGCATGACTGAGCACCTATGAGGCCATAAGAAAGGAAAAAAAAACTTTATCAAGTGTAGGAGTGCAAATTATCCAAACGTTGTTCTTTATCATTCTATTGTTGTTCTGTGTTAGTAAGGCCATGACCCGGAGATAACTTTAGACAGCTTCAAAGATATGGGTTGAACAGGAGACACCATGCATAATGCAATGCAACGCAAGACAGAAAGGGGAGGCAGAGAGAGAAAGAGAAAAATGCAGTGGAACACAACAGAGGCCTCCAAGACCAACAAGGACTAGTGACAGCTCCGTGTTTTTTTTGAGCAGTCTCCCATGTTGCTGGCAGGCCGAACACACACACACACACACACACACACACACACACACACACACACACA